GGCTTACAGGTTGAGACAAAAACAGTTTAATAATTGAAATATAATAAAATTATAACAATAATAGAAAGTACAAAGGGGCAATGCACAATGCGATTGCTCACCACCCACGGACCAATACCCAGCCCATTCCTGGCTAGGGAACCTGAAATACCAAGATCCCGTAATGGCAATCCCGGAAGCGAGAGAGAATGCCCTCCTTTCCTGCCACCCCTTCTTTATATACTGAGCATGACATTACTTGATATGGAATATTTAATTGGCCAATTTGGGTTCGGTGCCCTGGCCATGCTCCCTCCCTGCTTCTTGTGCACCTGTGCACGGGCAGGCCATGGGGAGTTGGAGAGTCCTTGATCTCTCAGCAACAACTGAAAACATCAGTGTATTGTCAGCGTTCTTCTCATATCAAATCCCATACTGAATCCAAAACACAGCACTCTTCTAGCTACTAAGAAGAAAAATTGACTCTATCCCAGCTGAAACCAGGACAATCCCACATGTCAGATTAAAAACAGATCAGGCATTGTCTAAGTGGCATCTAAAAATCTGTTATCAATACTTGCCTCAAACAATTCCACCATGGTTCATAATAGCAAATGAAAAATACTGTTGTTTACTTTTACCTCTTCAACAGCTGGTAAAAAAAAAAAAAAAAAAAGCCATTTCTGTAGTTCAGCTGAACACTAGATTGCCCAGAGATACATAACAGGACAGACACTAGCAAAGGACACCAGCTCATTCTTACCACAGTAGCAGCACTCCAAAACTCTACTCCACAACCTCAAAGAGGGTGGGAAGGCTGCCCGCTGGGAGACTTCACTGTTGCCTTTCAGTCCAAAACCAAAGGACAGCAGTGAATGGAGACAAAAGTTTTCCAGTCATATTCTTTACATTTACATAACACATGAAATAAAAGCTCTGTGTGCATGCATGTAGGTATCTATATTTAGCCATCTTGTAACACTGAAGTAGGACACTACCGATTTAAATTCCACCAAAGTTTTTGGCCATACACACCCTATCTGTTCTCATCTGCATAGTTACAAAGCTTGGCAATACCTGTCAGCAGGGTTTACTGTAGGTAACACCACTTCCACAATACTGATACTTGACCCAACACAGAATCATGGTACCACCCAGTGCCACAAAACCACTAAGTATATAGGACAAGAGGCAATTAAGATTTCAAGGGGCCTTGGGTGTGATCAGGAATCTCTCTTCTATTTCTAACCCTCATCTTTCCAGCTTCCCTGATATTACTGAGAGCCAGAACCCTACTGTTTGCCTTTGCGGCACCTGCAGTTCAAGGTGGTGGTAGGAGAGTTGGAATTCTCCTCCTTCTCCCACTCCTCTGGAAGAACAGGCTACCCAGCCCAGCCCAACCCTCTCACTCTCCCATTACCAGACTCACAGACCTCCCATGCACAGGAGCACTGCTCTGCTTTTGCTCTTTTATTGGGCAGGAGAAAAGCCAGCTGAGGAGTGAGCGTGGAATCACAAGCTGCTTCCAGCCCTCCCACTGCTCCGTGCTGAAGTGCCATGCAAATACCACTGCCCAGTTCTCCAGAAAATCAGATTTGCCCATATGCAGTTGAACAGAAGTCCAGTTTCATTAATATTATGAGAGTATCAACACCTAATAACTTTAGCTCTCTGTACCTAGGAAATCACAGTATTAACATGTCAATATATTGCCCATGACTGGGGATTTGTTTCAAATCTATACCACTGTTCACAGGAGTCTTGACTGCTACACTATAATGACTCATGTAACAGCTCATGTCCATTACAACAATGAAAAATCAGCTGTACTTGAGCCATAATGCTTGATTCTGATGATATGAATATACCACTGAAAGATGAAGACCAGTCCATGTGAAAGTGAATGTCAGGGACACTTAGTGTAATTCTTAAAGATCCAGTACTAATATTGACCGTATTGTCACTGAAGCAATAAGTTTTGGCAATACTTTATTTCTACAGCATATCTATTGGATAGGCTACTGGATGGGATGCTTAGAAATAGTAATAACATAAACATTGTTAGACCCTTATTCAGACAACTTTACCAGGGCAATCCATGCCCATAACCCCAAGTACAGTGGCAGAGGAAAATAGACATCTAAAGGCTGCATCAGCAACACCTATTCCAGTGTTCTGATCTTTATAACTCTGACTGTAACTATTCTTAAAACCAAACTCTTTCACTTAAAACCAAATAAAAGCAACAGACCAGGACAATAAAAACACCGTGTTCTATTAAGAAGCAAGCAGCAACTGACCCCAAGAAAAACATTATAGTGCAATTGCATTTTACAAAAAAAAAAAAAAATAAGACCACTGGAGCATGATTATTTTCTTCGTTAGGTTTTGGTATTACCAAATGTGAAACTCTCACTCACTGAGTTGTGTTATGCACTACCTAAACCTGCAAGGTACCAACACTGCAAAAATAGGTTGTAACTACAAATACTATATTATTACTAAATGATGTATTATATCCTTGAGCTGCTAGCAAGACAATAATTTGATTCTACTTACTGGCCAACTGATGACTAGCTATGACTTACCAAAACAAAAATCCTAGGTCTACCTATCCCCTAAATTATGTAGAAGTTTTGAACATCTGGATACAACTTATCACTATAATGCCACTCCAAAATCCCAGATGCAGTCCAAGCAAGTATTCACACCACCAGTGCCGTTCCCATTGACTGCTGGATTGGCAATTTTTGGAGCTCAGATCTCCTTCCGTGTTTGTTACAGTGTCAGTCTTACGAGAAGTACTTCTAAACAGCTAACAAATGTAAAATATAATAAAATTAAAGTTTAGCCCTGATTTGATGTTGTAGAATTGCATTGCTTGTGTATGTTGTATAACATATAACTAATTCAACAGCCTCCTTTATAAAAATCAGCTGCTCACGTATTAACTGAGCACAAGCACTCTCTAGCTGCTGAGAGCAGCTCTAAGACATGACGAGGTTATCCAAGCCCTAGGTGGAGTGAAACTATGGAACATCTAGTTTAGATTTCTTCCAAATTTATTTTAGATGTCCTACAGTTGTCACCTCTGTGCTTTTTAAGGAATCTTAAATTGCCACATCTTTGCCCCACAAAATCACCTAGTGTTTAACTGAGGAATAAAGGGTCAGCAAAAGTAGCTTCCTAGGTTCAGCATCAGGTTTTACCACAGTGTCCTCCTCCAAAACCTACAGAATTTCTGCCATCCATGTTGAATACGAACTACACTTTTTCTCAAAATGTCAAAAGTTACCTTCAAAGGGAGAGCAAATGTTTTCCATAGGTTTCATACTTTCAAATCAGAGAAGGGAAAAAATCCCATTTTTGGCTAGTGAGTCTATTCTGGATATGCACAGATGGACTGAAATTATTTTGTGGTGTAATCGATAAGGAAAGTTAATCACTAGATAGAAATTAGTTGGAAAATAGATTTAAATGACAGAGCAATGTAACTTGCTTTATTTGGCTGCCATCAGCAATGCAACAAAAGTGGCACTCCTGAGATGCAGAAGAGATGTTTATAGCAGAGAAAACAACACAGAGACAGACATGCTGAGGTCTCTTTATCTGATAACTTTGTGGTAATTGTCCTTCATGCCCTGTGGCATGTAGGATGCACTAATTTGGCATTCAGTGAGTACAGCAAAGAAGCATAATGAAAACAAAGAAGAGTCAAACTCTACACTATTGCTTTACCTTACTAAATTACCAAGGTGCAGCAGTGTTTGCATCATCACAAAATCTCAGATAGACATTTCTATGGGCCAACATCATCCTCCTCCTGGAGTCCTGTCTCGTTTCCATCAGTGTACCTGATTAATTTTGCCAGTTCTTTCTGAGTGGCTCTGCTGTGAGGTCTGATTCTATTTGCTGGCTGAGATTTTGCCCTTGGTTTCAACTCCAACTGAGTGATTACAGCATCTCTTCCTCTTGTCCAACTGTCTGCTGACATTTCCTATATTGAAGGTAGGGAGCCTTCAAAAACTGTTTCTACCAAAATCAACATGAATTTTACCTCTTGGTTTTATTGGGTCTAGAACTTGTCCCTATCACCCCTTTCTGTCTCTTCACCAGCTGCTGCATAGAAGTAAAGTCATCAGTATTGCTGAGCATAGCTCAGTTCCCAGACACCTTCTTCTGTCAAACAGGTTTTTAAAATATTCTTAATTTACATTTTGGGGTTTTCTCCTGTGCTTTTTATACTGGCAGTGTCTCGCCTCTTAAAAACCACATACAGCTGTGAGAATGTGTGTTCCCTCTTTCTCATAATAGCTGACCCCAAAGACAGCAAGCCTTTATTACTAACTGCAGGGAAGAATGCACAACACTATGCTCTACCTGACACAAATGTAGCTCTTCCACATCTGCTTTATAGTCATTCATTCAAGCATCCAGGCTTATCACTTCACGTAGTTTAATTGGGGGGCAAGTGTACCAAGGACAACAGCAATGAAAGAAGAATGAACTAAGGTACACATGCAGGCATACACACATATACAAGTGTGGCATATGCTCACTAATTTTTGTTATATGCTGTTGATAATCTGGTCACACCCCTGGTCCCCAGCCCCATTATGAAAAATCCTATCAGTGTACTGTTCCACACACACAGTGGTCTTTTTCACAAAGATTAGGCAGCAGATGCCAAAGTGAGATTTTGTATTAATAACGCACTGAGGAAATGATTGATCCTTTACGTCCTTATGAATTTGCTAATAGAGGCCAGGATTCACCCCTACAGAAGGTAAATTAAACTCCCATTGTATTCAATACAAGTTGTGCACATTTCTGTAAAGGATGAGTTGCGTGCAAAGGGTTTGGTGGTGGTTATTGTACAGCAAATCAAGTAAGATGCAACAGATGCAAAGAGAAATGGTTGGAGAGAGGCAAAGATAAAGCCCAAGGTCTAAATGCCAGGTTTGCATGTATGCCAGCTGCTCTGCACCACAGGAGAGAGAAAGAGGCAAACAAATACTTACCAGGTTTAATTTCCAACAGCTTCAGCCTGGAATCCTCGGGGGGGTGCAAACGCCTCTTTTTGCGCCAGCAACGTGCTGGGTACGTGTACAGCTGTCCTGGGGCCAGGCCTGAAGATTAAAGACAAAAAATAAATACAATCACATTTCAGTTTGTAAACTACAAGCACTGTCTCTATCATCTTTGTTCTTGCCCTTCCAGCATCTCCTTGTTGGAGGGTTCAATCCTGCAAATCACGAGGCAGAACTACGCACTGAAGGCATCCAGTGCTCTCGAGGCTCCTCAGCACCTCCTGGGATCAGGCCTATAGAGAATCTAGGTCTCACTGAAGACGCTTCACTCAGCTTACTGAAACCAGAGCTGCACATAAATAATTTGTGATTTCTTCAGGGTAAATAGAATTTCAGACTCTCCTGGGTCACAGGGGCGATGCCTCCTCCATGGGCAAAAAAAGCCCATTGGGAGGGAAGAGATGAAGTTCCAACATGCAAATCATAAGGCACAGAGCATCTCAGGAAATTCATGTCTTCCAAATGGGAGCAAATCAAGATTCATGAGGTCTGGCTATTTGGACTCCGTATTTTTGCTTAAACTCTGGACTTCTGTTTGAGGACAGATTCTTCATTCTGGTTATTACCTCCTCATGCCAACATCCTGAATGAGGGAGGAGATACAGCAGTAATGTTTATATTACTGCATGCTCCATTGAATCACATTTGGCATTGCTGGCTTCTGAGCTGCCCTGGCTCTCCTGACTGACGTTCAAGCTATGCTTTGCTCTCTTGTATTCAGAATACAGCAGAGCTTCCTGAAAGCATGGCTACTAGAACACTGCCAAGTCCTTCAAAGTATCCTCAACTGCCCCAGATACTCATGACACACAGAAATACCCAGCAAGACACAGAAATGTTGAAAGAATTTCATTCTCTCACCTGCTTTCCCTGCCCTCTCCATCCATCAATTCTGCTTTGGCTCTCCTACCCTTCTGCTGTTAGTCTTGAAAGGGCTACAGAGCATGACTGCAAATCCAGACTCATTCCCCTTAGAAAGCAGGTAAGAGCATGTAAGAGAGGGGCCAGGAGTCACGTTACCATATTTGAAACTATACTAACAGTGAACAGCTGGGCAACATCAGGGGGGTGCCAGTAAAGCAGAACAGCTCAAGGGCATCAGGATGGCCCAAGAGTTCTCACATCCCCTCTGAAGCAGCCAGGAGAGTGTACCAGCTTGGGAAGAAAACTGACTCACTGAATCAAATGAGGATAATGAAAAAAACCAATATCCTGTTACTTGGGGAACAAAAAAAAGAAAAGACACAACAAAATTATTCACCTCATGGGAATGGGCTAATCAAATTCTGCAAGTGAAGCCTGAGGTCCTGGTTTGAAATATTTCAACTGTTGGAAATGCCAGTTCAGGCCCCAGCACTTTCCACCTATTTCCAAGGTCTTGGTGCATAAACAGAGTACCTATAGCACACTGCCTGGGTATGGCTGAGAGACGGAGTATTTACAGAGATCCTCGCTGTTCCAGGACACAGAATGCTATGAACTCGGGCTTTTCACACCCGTCTTTCATTGCTGCACAGATTGCTGGGCATTATGCCCACCCTAAGAAGGACACATTTCAGAGCGGGGTGCTTAGGACCAGTTTGGGAATAAAAATGTGAATAACTAGCACTTCTACAGTGTTTGGACACACTTCTTTATGGCACTTTGCAAACATTAACCACCGCAAACAATTGCTATTATGATGAGGTGGATTGTGCCTGGCTCTGATGTGAATCATTAAAGAGGTGGAGGCAAGAAGCCTCACCCTTTCACATCAGGTCTGCTGCAAGAACTTGCTCACAACATTGAAATGGCAGTTGCTAGACCGAAGCAATAGGACAGAGATTCAGTCTTCCATTGCATTGGCAATGCAGAGGAGTCATTTGAATTAAGTAAGCACCACAGCTTTGAGCATTTCTCCCAGACAGACATGAGCAAGGATCTACTGCTGTTTTGGGGGTGTATCTGTTAACATGGGTTCAGTTATTGAGTCCTCTTATATGAAATATCAGTTCTGGATGCAGCCAGGACAGTGAAATCCAACCACAAATGCTGAAAGCTCAACAAGAAAAAAAGCAGGTATCCTTGAAAAGAAATCTTCTTCCCTAGAGGACCTACAGCCCACTCCAGGTGACAGGTAGATCAACAAGACATGGATGATCCAACACCCATCTCTGTACCCCTTGAAGTAAGCTCTCTGTTCCTATTCACAATACCCTTGCTCATTAATAACAGCCATCCAATGAACTTAAAACACATAGCAGACCTTCACTTGATCCAGACCCATCAAATGCTATCTTCAGGTCTCTACCCTGACCCCCATCTGTCACTGTGCTGGCTCACATGAAGTGTGGACCTTTGACTGCTTACAAAAAGGAGAGGCAACAAGGAAAGGGTCAGTTCTGAACGCTTCAAATCTAGCCCCTCCACAGTCAATCTTGCAGTGCATATGGAAATAATGCACATACAGGTCTTACTGTCTTCAGTTCTGGCTCTGTTGTCTCTCCCTCTGGAGCCTTACAGGGCAACCAGAGAAGGTTCCAAACATTTGCTTATAGAGGAAATAGCAGAACCTGCAATGAGTTATGTTGTTTATCTCATTAGTGTAGGAGAGCCATAACTCAAAGGTGGTGTGAAAGGCCGGAGGAGGAGGGGAAAAGGAGGGAGTTATGTGCAGTATTGTGTGAAATTAACCCTGAACTGTTTATCATGAGATGCAGTTTTCTGACTCTTTTAACAAAGAGGACAGCAAGAAACCAGGTTAATATGCTGAGATCCTGACTCTCCTCTCTGTTTTTCAAGCCCTCTGTAACTGAAAAGAGGTCCTGGAGCTTTGCCATTTGTCTTTATACAGTTTTTCAGGTTAGGCATAGTAAATGGCAGTGAACACAGCACACAAGACAGATATCAGGGTGGTTGGCAGAGAATTTTCACAGCCCTTCAGTATGGGCACAAACACATTGTATACAGCCTGAAAACAGGCATGTTAAAACTGTAGAGGGATGCTTTGACCCACCATAACACTACAAGAAATAGATGATGCAAAGACACTCAAGGGAGCACTAAACAGGCTAATAAAAATCAAGGAAGAGGAAAGCAAATATGGGGGGGAGGGATCCTTCATTTCACACTGATTATTCTAATTCAAAATAACAAAGGCATCAGATTTGGTGGCTAACGCAGATGCAGGAGGCTTGTTTCACTTAAGACTCCCTGTGAAGAATGGTCCACCATTAGTCTTCACTGCATACCTGCAAGAGAAATGCCACAGATCCTCTTTTGCAGGGTAAGCTGCTGAACAGTTCACTATCAGAAGTGAGGAAAGAAAGATTTGCACAGTGAATTTGCTCAAGGTATTCCGGAGAGCTTGTGGCTGAGAAAGGCAAAGCGTTAAGACCTCTTGGTTCCTGGTGTTATGCTGTAACACTGTTATGATGATTTCTTCTGTAAGTGCAGAGACACCAAGACACCAATGAGACCCATACAAAACTATCTGTGTCTACTTTTGTAGCATATGCTCTTGCCAAAACATTATTTATGGATATAGTGGATGTATGCCTGCTTATGACTGTGTTTAAAAGGATGAAAATAGCAGCACCTTACACATAACCTGATGCTACAAGAACAGAAATTCCTTGGGTAAACATATTATCCAAAAAAAAAAAAAAAAAAAAAAGGAAAGGTCATTTTGACAAAGTATAATCCCTTAGGAATGGGGAATTTTCAGCTGAAAAAAAAAAAAAAACAACTGTGGTCATGAAGCAACCTACAAAAGAATAGTTAGCCCAGAACCTCAGACAACTCCCAGTTTGTAAACCACATTCAGTGGTCCCAGATTACCCCAGTAGTTTTGGCAGCTGAAACATTCTCAGGGTATTTTTAAAGCTGATAAAACACCTGTTGTCTCCCGCACCACCAGTGGCTGCATTTTACTACAGAAAGAGTTTTCCAACAGTACTGCAAGACAATACTAAATTTACTTTGGATATTTTAGGAATAGGAGCAGTGCAAGGATCCTTCCCTCAGCATATCCTAGCAAAAGGGACAGGGAAATTTCAGCTAAGCACTCTTCAGAAGAGACAATTTCTTTCTTAGCCCCAGGAGGGGAGGTAAAGATCCTATGTGTTCCTCCCACTCCACCTCCTGCAAACTGGCCAGTGGAAGAGGAAAGAGCTGGCTGCAGCTTCCCATAATTGCAGATCTGGAGTTTTTCAGGTTTTTTTCAGTATGGTTTACAGGAACTGGCATGCGTATATGCACATGTGTGTATGTCGTGCTTCTGGTGCCCATGCACCCTAATCCCCTCCCTGCTTGGATTCTCTGGTCTGCACTGAAAACACAAAAAAATAGAAACCCAGTTAGGTGCCATCAAAAAATCTGTTCCCTGAGCTAATGGTGGGTCAGATACTGAGCCATACTAAAGCAAAATTCCCCCTGGGATTCAGGAGGACTTCTGTATGAGTAACATCTCCAGTCTTTGAACTGGTGACTGTCCTTTGCCTTTCAAAGAACAATTTCAGATGATTTACTCTAACAAAGGAAAGACTAACCAAAGTCTACAAAAATAAGAGTGGTCTTTTCCCTTGAGCTTCACTGCGCTGTGGAACAGGTGTTAGTCAAAGCTCTTTAAAAATCATAGAATCATCATAGATTCACAGAAGGGTTTGGGTTGGAAGGACCTTAAAGATCATCCAGTCCCACCTTCCCTGTCACAGCAGGGACAACTTCCACCAGACCAGGTTGCTCCCAGCCCCGTCCAACCTGGCCTTGAGCCCTTCCAGGGAGGGGGCAGCCACAGCTGCTCTGGGCACCCTGGGCCAGCGCCTCACCCCCCGCACAGTGAAGAATTTCTTCCTGGTATCTAATCTAAACCTACCATCTTCCAGTTTAAAGTCATTAACCTTTGTCCTGTGAACATATACCCTTGTAACTCCCCACCTTTCCTGTAGCCCCCTTTAAGTTCTGGGAGGCTGCTCTAAGGACTCCCTGGAGCCTTCTCTTCTCCAGGCTGAACACCCCCAACTCTCGCAGCCTGGCCTCACAGGAGAGGTGCTCCAGCCCCCCGATCATCCTCGTGGCCTCCTCTGGACCTGTTCGAGCAGGTCTGTATCCTTCTGATGTTGGGGGCCCCAGAGCTGAACACACTACTCCAGGTGGGCTCTCACAAGAGCAGAGTAGAGGGGGAGAAACCTCTCCCTTGACCTGCTGGCCACGCTTCTCTTGATGCAGCCCAGGATGTGGTTGGCTTTCTGGGCTGCAAGTGCACATTGCTGGACCACAGTCAATTTTCCATCCACTAGTGCCCTCAAGTCCTTCTCCACAGGGCCGCTCTCAATCCACCCAGCACCCAGCCTGTATTTGTCCTTGGGATTGCCCTGACCCATGTGAGAACCTTGCACTTGGCCTTGTTAAACTTCATGAGGTTTGCACAGGCCCACCTCTCCAGGCGGTTCAGGTCCCTCCGGATGGCATCCCTGCCCTCCAGTGTGTCACTGCCCCACACAGCTTGGTGTCATCAGCAAACTGGCTGAGGGTGTGCTCAGTCCCACTGTCCATGTCGCCAACAAAGATGTTAAACAGCGCCGGCCCCAGCACCGACCTGTGAGGAATGCCACTCATCACTGGTCTCCACTTGGACAGAGCTGTTGACCACAACTCTTTGAGTCTGACCATCCAGCCAATTTCTTATCCACCAAGTGGTCCATCCATCAAATCCATGTCTCTCCAATTTAATGACAAAGATGTCATGTGGGACAGTGTCAAATGCTTTGCACAAGTCCATGCAGATGACGTCAGTTGCTCTTCCCTTACCCACCAGTGCTGTAACCCCATTGTAGAAGGCCACCAAATTTGTCAGGCACAATTTTCCCTTACTGAAGGCATATACCATGCAAGGTCCATGCAAGGGCATATATCAACTTCTTTCTGCACCTCAGGAAACTGCAGCTTCAGAACTGATATCCACACAACTTGTCCAAAGCAGAACTAGGAGTTACAGGTATATTTCTAACCATTAGAACAACATTCATTCCAATAACTGGACTCTCCTATATTTTACCTCCTTCCGAATATAAATCCTTATTTTCAGCATTCATCTGAGAAATTCCCACCTCCACCTCTTCAACCTGAAGATCAGCCCAGTCCTGCTTAGAGAAGAGCATTGTGTATTCTGCTACAGACTGGGATCAATAGCATTAAAAGAGCTACGATGATGTGGCCTTAGAAACTACCATGTCAGGCTCTTCTTTGGGTAGAGAGAGAATAATTAGTATGAGCTCTCTGCAGTTACCAAAGGAAATCCCCTGCAGGCACAGAGGTTTATGCAGTTTCTCTTCTGTGTGGCCTGTAGCAGGTTTGAGCTCATATTAATTAAACCCCAGGAGGGCTCAGTGACCAGCCCTCCATACATGCACAGGCATACACAGACACAATCCTACCAACCTGGTCCCCTGTGCCTCTTCTCCATCCAGATGTAGCAGTTGTTCTGAGCTACCCCAGTTTGCGAATCCAGGAAGGGAAGGCGGACGCTTCGCTCAGCACACAGCCGGGAGTTGTAGCTGCGACAGTGTTCAATTGCTTCTTTGTAGAACTGGTCCCCGAGTCTGCCAAAAGAGACAGGACAGAGAGTAAGAAGGATTGCGCTGCTCCCTCAAACAAGACCAGGAACAGGGGACATAGGGTTAGTTTTAAAATGGACAAACAGATAAACTTTCCCTGAACACATGCAAAGCTTGCTGACGCGAGACACTGCTGGAATAGATCATGCAGAAAGTGCCACCAAGAAATCAGACTCTCAGGAACTGGACACGGATCTTTTCAGTAGTGACCTAGCTACTGAATGAGCAAATGATGCAACCACACTAGCCCACGACCCTGGGTCAGGCAACATATACACCACGGTGAACTCATTCTATTGTTTCTCTTCCCCTGTAGTTTGTCCAGCCAATTCAGCAGAGCAGTCATGTCAATCCTATGTTACAGCAACTCCCGCAGTGTATTTTGAGCAACCAGAAAGCCAGCCGAGTTTAGAAGAACTTCACTCCAGCATTTCTGGTGTCAGAGAGCCCATAAGAGCAAAGGACATAGTCCTCATATTGAGTGTTTCTGAAGCATGAAAACACACCCCTTAACAACTAGGGCCATGTCTGCAATGGTCAGACTAGACATTTTGTCATAACCCTTCCAGAGGTTTCCACAGTCAAGCCTGAGGCACCAACAGCAGCAGGCTACAACTGTGACTGGTAAGATCCAGTATGGCAAATGCTACTTTCTTCTAGAGCCCAGTGGGAGGAACAGTTCTAAAGTCAATGTCACTTATCTCATAAATAACTATTTGTTCAAAAATCTTGTAGAATCTTCATCTTCCCTTGAGAAAGGTTTAAAAACTGCCTGCTGGAGATTACCAAAATCCTCCCTCCAAATTTTTCTAAACAGGGAAAAGCATCAAATTAAAGCTACCCTGAGGACACAAAGCAGCTGTCATGCTGGAGCACTGCAAAGTAGGTGGGCCACAGTGCTGAACTTCATTCTGGATCTACTGTCAAGGTGAAATTCAGTCATGACACGAATAGCTAGGAAAGCTACCCGTTAGGGGTAAGTTCATTAGAAAATAGGAGTAGAGTGATATATAGCATAACTTGCTCTGACTCTGATCTTCATTAGTGTGCAAAAAGAGTATAGCATGCACAGCAAGGGAGCCAAAGGGGTGCATGCACAGAGATAAAAGAGGCTCCCTTTCCTGTTCTATTAGTTTTCCCTGCTACTCTCTTCCACAGGCACAAATGGCATTTTAAAAGTACACTCCTTTTGCACACCTCTGAATATCAAATTGGGGCAAATTACTCTGTATTACCATCTGTGTCTGTTTTCTGACTCACATCTTTTAAGTCACTCCTCAGTTGTGCTTTATGACTTTCATGGGAGTCATGCTCTTCCCCCCTCGGCAGTTCTGGCCCAACATCCTTCTGCTGACTGGAGACAATGGCAGAGGCTCAGGAAAGAACACAAGAGCAGGGCAAATTCAGAGGAAGGCACCCGTGGTTCCCTGTTCTCACTTCTGATGATCAGAACTGAATTTCCCCAAGTCCCAGGTCACCCAATGGTGAGGATATTATGTTTATGAGACTTTCTTCCATGAATTTATCCAACCAACTCTTCAACCCACTTATCTTTTTCATACCTAAAACACTGTGGGGTGATGAGTTCCACAGCTGAAATACAATTCATGCGAAAAAAGCATTTCCTTATGCTTGTTTTAACCCATATCCCAACTATTCACAATTGCAAGTCTGTAAGCCTCTCACAAAGCTTCCAGCAGGTCACTTCTCTAATGAGCAGAGGGTATCCCGCACGCTGAGCCCCTGGATGTGGAATGAGCACTGTGGCTGGATGCTGGAGCCCACCAGCTTTCTGCTGCCCTCTGCCACTCTGACTTCAGCCGCCACATTTCAGTGTCCCCAAGGGAGAGAAAGGGGCAGTCCTCCACAAGCAGGAATTGCACCCAGGAGTCAGCACATCCTTTGGCTACAGAGCCTTTCTGAGGGCTGCTCAGCGGTTTCGCACAGCAGTGAACATCTGTGTGAGTGCAGTGCTCCACAGCCCCGTCCCCCCTGCTGACCAGCAGCTCCTGGGCAGCGGCCGGTGCTGGGAATTTTGCAGGGCAGCTGAAGGACAGAGCTCTCTGGACTGTACAAGAGAGCAGAGCTGTGGGCAGAGCGTGCACAGCGGGATCCCTCCGGACACTGAATCCCCTGCAGTGACCTCAAACCCCTTTTTTCCATAAAAAGGCAGGGGGGGAGGGAAGGGGAGCAGAGGAGAAAAGAAAAGATAAGCTGCACTGTTATACAAAGAATGTGACTAGGAAGAAATGAAAGCTTATTAAAAGCTGTAATTAAAGTTGTACACTTGTGTAATCAAAGTCAGTAACAAGGAGACTCCAGTTGATCAAAGATTAACAGCTCTTTCCACAAACACTTGAGCTTCCACAGAGCTATTTCAGATTCCCCCTACATTAAGCCAGGGATGCTGGCTAACTCCAAGGAGTTTACTGGAAGGAAGAGCGCAGCTGTGTGACAACAAACTGCCATCACTGCATAGACTTCCTTTATGCTAAAAATTACTCCAGTCATTAGAATATGCACACCACAAAGTATCCGTATTAACAAAAACAGTATGTGTCAACCACCCAGATACAGGACCTAGCTGGAGATGACCTCAGTTTCCACCTTCTTCTAAGACTGACAATCACTATAAATCTTAGAATGTTAAATATTTGGCTTCAAATGATGCTGTCAAGTAGGGTGTAAGATTAAATTTCAAATTTTTCTAAGGGGGAAAAAAGGGTTTTTGAGATCCTAATGGCTTAGAAGCTACCAAGTTAATGGGTCAAATTCATTCTTGACACAATCTTGTAGTCTAGCTGTTTCATTATATTTATTTTAAAGATTTTAAATATGCATCTTTTGTCTTAAAGAAAAATATCAATTTATGAGAAGCATTTAGTCACCTCCATACTTTAAGAAAGCTTGCCTTGGCTCCACTACAGCAAACATGATCAAAAACCACAGACTCCTTATAAGTATTCACTGGAAAGGTATTCAGATACTGGGACCTTGAGAACTTCTCCTTTTATTATAAATAGAATTTTTAAGAAGTGACAAATAATCAAATGTAGGAAAGTAAAGAAATAATATTTCCTTATAACAGTCATATCTCAGTGGAAAACAGCTTCCCTGAAATTACTGGTGGATGGTTGGTTGGTTTTGTTTTACCATTAGTCTTCTGAGGTGACCCTGGAGTGACTTCTGGAGTGACTCTGACTCGTTCCAAATTTCAGTTAGTTTTTTTTAAGGAACTTTAAACTTAGAGATAGTTTTTCCTTTGTTTTCAGTGCCACATATCTGAACACAGTACATTTTATCTTATGCAGGAAAACCAGAAAGTGTTATTAGAATTGGGGCAAAAAAGGGAAAGTACTATTGTGCTCATCACTGTGCAGTGATGGAGGTGGGACAAATCCCAGCCCGCTCCCAGGAGGTTTACAACGGAGCTGGAGAATAGACAAGGGCGGGAATAAGACTGGAGAGCACATGAGCTCAAATGACATTCAAACAGATCAGCTGAGGTTGAGAAAGTGAGATACATGAAGAGAAAAAAATAAATGGACAATATTAATAATAAAAAAAGTATCATATGTCAGAAAGATTAATTATCTGATGTTACATGCTTCATAGTTTTCCCAAGATGTGTTGCTATGGAAGACTTACACTTCATCTCCTGAAAAAATATCTGTAAAAACTATGGGGAATTTTCGCATTATTTTTATGAAAAGTATGTATGAGTCAGTGCTGTGCTGTGACTGACTGCAAGGGTCGATTCTTCCCATTGGACACTGAAGTGAAAGGTCACACAGACTTGTCTAGATTGATATTAATGACACAAAATCATCAGCATATGTGTAGCTTTCAAAGATGCTGGGGGAAAAAAAAATCAAGGAGCAAACATGAACAACTGCTGGCCAAGGAAGGCAAATCATACTGAAAGCAGCACAACTGGAAATACAGAATAAAGTTCTCAGCACACTGAAAAAAGCACACAGCCCCTCAGTGCAGGGCCACAGGTGAAACTCCAGATGCTTGGGACAGGCAGGCTGGTGACACTGCCGGCATACGTGCAGGCTTTGTGTTTATATTCCAGCCTGAGGACACTAAAATAACCCAGTTCTGGCTGGCTAATAAAAGCTCCCTGGCTTGGAAAAGAAAAACCTATGCTATTACAATCCTCTGCAAGGCTGCATAGGAGGGGTATATATCTAGCAGGAGCTACGGGCTCTTCTTTGGCAAAAAAGGTCGTGACTGAAATGAAACATCAGGCTTGGAAGAGCGGAAGCGCCGTGTGAACAGGGAGGTGAGCACCCTGAAAGCACCACTGATCCCGTGGGTCCTGGGACAGCAATGTGAGGCTGGTGGAATTCTATGCAGCCTTGCAGGTAGTCACTGGCATGAGAGCAGGCACCAGGACTGGAGGATCAGACCCTATGACTTTCACGAGGTCGCTGTCCTTTTAAGTGTTAAGAAACAGGTTTCCTATCATGGAATCAGGTCAGCTAATAACAAAGTCAGGGAAGAACAACCCTCCCCTTCTCACAGCTTTTGTCTGCCTGCTCTAACTAGACCATAAGATTTCTGAGCAGGCTCTGACTTACTACTTTTCTGTACAGTACCTAGTGTCATGACTTCTCTGTCTAGGCATGCCTTAAATGAAAAAAACAAACAAACAAACAAACCCAAACAAAACAAACAAAAACCACAAAACAAACAAACAAACAAACAAACAAAAACAAAACAAAAAAAAAATACACAAGAACTGGCCTGGCTTATAAACCCGTAAGTTAAAAACACAGACCAAGAAAAACCTGGCTTCTCTCCAGCTGCTTCAGGATGTTCATTTCCCTGCTGACAAGAGATCCTGATGGGCCCTGAAAGCAGTGGAACAGCTCTCCACCACTACTTTCCAGTTCATCCTGCAAAGTCCCAGCTATTCAAGTGTGAGACACCTTTTACAAAAGCTACACAATGGGCAGAATCTGGCACATCCTTCCTGC